CCCATCAATAACCATCACACTGGGAATGAAAGGGTTATCCCATCAATAACCATCACACTGGGAATGAAAGGGTTATCCCATCAATAACCATCACACTGGGAATGAAAGGGTTATCCCATCAATAACCATCACACTGGGAGTGAAAGGGTTATCCCATCAATAACCATCACACTGGGAGTGAAAGGGTTATCCCATCAATAACCATCACACTGGGAGTGAAAGGGTTATCCCATCAATAACCATCACACTGGGAGTGAAAGGGTTATCCCACCAATAACCATCACACTGGGAGTGAAAGGGTTATCCCACCAATAACCATCACACTGGGAGTGAAAGGGTTATCCCACCAATAACCATCACACTGGGAGTGAAAGGGTTATCCCACCAATAACCATCACACTGGGAGTGAAAGGGTTAACCCACCAATAACCATCACACTGGGAGTGAAAGGGTTATCCCACCAATAACCATCACACTGGGAGTGAAAGGGTTATCCCACCAATAACCATCACACTGGGAGTGAAAGGGTTATCCCACCAATAACCATCACACTGGGAGTGAAAGGGTTAACCCACCAATAACCATCACACTGGGAGTGAAAGGGTTATCCCACCAATAACCATCACACTGGGAGTGAAAGGGTTATCCCACCAATAACCATCACACTGGGAGTGAAAGGGTTATCCCACCAATAACCATCACACTGGGAGGAAAGGGTTATCCCACCACAACCACCATTAGACTGGGAGTGAAAAGGGTTGGTCCCACCGGTCAACCATCACACTGGGAGTGAAAGGGTTTAACCCACCAATAACCATCACACTGGGAGTGAAAGGGTTAACCCACCAATAACCATCATTGAATGGGAGGAAGGTTAAACCACCCAATAACCATCACACTGGGAGTGAAAGGGTTATCCCACCAATAACCATCACACTGGGAGTGAAAGGGTTATCCCACCAATAACCATCACACTGGGAGTGAAAGGGTTATCCCACCAATAACCATCACACTGGGAGTGAAAGGGTTAACCCACCAATAACCATCACACTGGGAGTGAAAGGGTTAACCCACCAATAACCATCACACTGGGAGTGAAAGGGTTAACCCACCAATAACCATCACACTGGGGGGGGGGGGGTTAACCCATTAATAACCACAACACTGGGGGTAAAAGGGTTAACATTGCTAGGGTCTGGGTGTGGAAGGGTTAACCAATGAATAACATTGCTGGAGTATGGGGTGGAAGGGTTAAACCATTAATAACATTGCTAGGGTCTGGGGGTGGAAGGGTTAACCCATTAATAACAATCACACTGGGAGCGTGCTAGAGAACCCGTTAATAACAACACTGGGAGCATGCTAGAGTCTGGGGGTGGAAGGGTTAACATTGCTAGGGTCTAAGGGGGTGGAAGGGTTAACATTGCTAGGGTCTAAGGGGGTGGAAGGGTTAACCCATGAATAACATTGCTAGGGTCTGGGGGGTGGAAGGGTTAGCCCATGAATAACATTGCTGGGGTCTGGGGGGTGGAAGGGTTAACCCATGAATAACATTGCTGGGGTCTGGGGTGTTAACCCAGGGTTAACCCATTAATAGCATTGCTGGGGTGGAAGGGTTGGCCAAATAACATTGCTGGGGTCTGGGGGTGGAAGGGTTAACCCATGAATAAGATTGCTGGGGTCTGGGGGGTGGAAGGGTTAACCCATTAATAACAATCACACTGGGAGCGTGCTAGAGAACCCGTTAATAACAACACTGGGACATGCCAGAGTCTGGGGGTGAAGGGTTAAATTGCTAGGGTCTGGGGGAGGAAGGGTTAACCATGAATACATTGTTGGGGTCTGGGGGTGGAAGGGTTAACATTGCTAGGGTCTGGGGGGTGGAAGGGTTAACCCATGAATAACATTGCTGGGGGTGGAAGGGTTAACCCATGAATAACATTGCTGGGGTCTGGTGGTGGAAGGGTTAACCCATGAATAACATTGCTGGGGTCTGGGGGTGGAAGGGTTAACCCATTAATAACATTGCTGGGGGTGGAAGGGTTAACCCATGAATAACATTGCTAGGGTCTGGGGGGTGGAAGGGTTAACCCATGAATAACATTGCTGGGGTCTGGGGGTGGAAGGGTTAACCCATGAATAGCATTGCTGGGGGTGGAAGGGTTAACCCATGAATAACATTGCTGGGGTCTGGTGGTGGAAGGGTTCCTGTCCGTTCAGTCGGTTTAACACATTAATAACCATGCTGAAAGTAGGAGGATGGATACCAGGTCATTGATTGTCCTTTGTCATTAAGGTTGCTTCTTCACTGGATCCATCAGAGGCCGGGGCTGTTCCAATGTTATCAGACGACTTACAGGCAAAACCAGAGGTAAGTGTCACATCTTGGTTTGAGGTTTATTCTACAAATAATTTTTTATTTTGCCTGATCATAGTTTGTCCTGTATCTTTCTCGTAATATAAAACATGGATTCCATTTCGTTTTGATTTTCATTTCCTAGCTTTGAAGTTATTGCCTGTTAAGCTGGGGGATTGCTCCTCGTTATTAACCTCATTTGCTTTACATACTAACTAACATCCCCCTTACTAAAACAATCACACCCGCAGCCTTATTCTTTAAAGTAACAATTCAAATTCAAGGTTATAATAGCTGGAATGGAAAAATCCTCGAACTCAGAGATGCTGTCAGTTTAAAACTACTTTAGCCTTAAATTAGAAATTCCCCCTTTAGTTAACAAGGTGCGATGACGAGGACGGAGACACCAGTCTCTTTTTTTAGATTAAGAATAAAGCCACAACATACTATTTTCTTTTAAAAATCTCTTTCCTACTTGAATATCCAGTGAGACTCCAGGAAAGTAAAATCAAGCTTTATTAAAATACCAGAAGTAAGATTAGCATGTGTTATTTTGCAGCTGCTGGTTGAATTTGTACAAAATGCGTCAATTCCACTTGGAGAAGAACTTGTGGAAAATGATCCCAAAGATTTGCCATGTCTGTCTCCCCTCCCTGAAACCGATACGTCCCCGGGTGCTTCTCTGCTATTATCAGGTAGAACTATACAAATACAGTAAGTAATATGGCAGCAGTGTTTCTATTCTGGACTGGTTTTTATTTCAGTTTTTAAGTGGTGGGGGGCGGGGGTTGTTTTTTCTTTGGAGAGTAGACTGCAGAGGAGAGGTGAATTATTTAAAGTTGGGAATATTTTAGCATGTACCTGCAAAATGTAAATCTCTTTTAGTTTGGAAAAACATTATACAAATATATTCAGGGCCAGTACAAACCATTATCTGGAAATCTAGTCACAAACAGGGCTAGATATATAGGACACGAGGTCACATATTTAGGCTGGAAGAAAAGAGATTTCATCTAAGGCAAAGGAAATGTTTAGTTTTTTTACAGTAAGAGCAATAAGGATGTCGAATTCTCTGCCTGAAGTGGTGGTTTATCAGAGTCCATACAGATGTTTAAAGGACCACTATAGTGCCAGGAAAACATACTCGTTTTCCTGGCACTATAGTGCCCTGAGGGTGCCCCCACCCTCCGGGACCCCCTCCCGTCGGGCTCTGGGAAGAGGAAGGGGTTAAAATCTTACCTTTCTCCAGCGCCGGGCAGGGAGCTCTCCTCCTCCATAGCGACGTCATCGGCTGAATACGCATGCACGGCAGGAGCCGCGAGCGCATTCAGCCAGTTCATAGGAAAGCATTTACAATGCTTTCCTATGGACGCTGGCATCTTCTAACTGTGATTTTCACAGTGAGAAGCACGCAAGCGCCTCTAGCGGCTGTCAAGAGACAGCCACTAGAGCCTGGATTAACCATTTTATAAACATAGCAGTTTCTCTGAAACTGCCATGTTCATACAAAAAAAGTGTTAATCCTAGATGGACCTGGCACCCAGACCACTTCATTAAGCTGAAGTGGTCTGGGTGCCTATCGTGGTCCTTTAAACTGAAATTGGATAAATACTTAATACTTATACATAACATACAGGGATATAATTTCTAATTAGTGGGGTTATAGCTGCTTGATCCAAGGAGACATCTGACTGCTATTTTGGGGATAAGAATGAATTTTTTTCCTAGTTTGTTGCAAAATTGAAAGTGCTACAGACTAGGTTTTTGGCCTTCTTTTAGATGAACCTTATGTGAGGAAGGCTGAACTTGATGGACGCAAGTCTCTTTTCAGCTATGTAACTGTAACTATGCATGATAAATATAAATTGGGATTTCCGTAACTCCTGTTTGGGATAACATGACTGCTAGTTATTGTGATTTTTTAAAGAGGAAACTTGGGTAAAGTCACCCTTCATTTTGAAACCTTGTAAAGAGAACAATAACTGTAGAAAGAGGTGGCCATTTATCTGAACAGAGTATAATTTATACAGTGTCCTGATCTCACCCATCCACAGTTGCTAGAGTCTAGTGAATGATTCTGGTTTGGCTGCGTTTCCAGTTCCCATAGACTCCAATGGGTTCTCCCCATCTTAGATAGAGGTTCATAAGAAACTAATATTTCTTACATGGTGCACAAATAAATATCCAGAACATTTTTCAATATTACAGTTTCCGTAAGTGGGGGCAAGACATGCTATTCAAACAAAACCAGCATTTCTGGTGTTCTGTGTCCGACTTTCAAGTCTGTGATGAATTCAATAAGTATAAGGTCTGTTTGTAAAGCACGGGCATTTAAACCCTGTGAAAAACGAGGGTTAATCTGTGTGTTTCAGGATGGGCTTGATGGGTATTAATGACTCTTGAATCCTTTTCTATTTTTTTTCTGATCTATTTTTCCTGTTTGTCTTGGTTTGTATTAAACGATTCAAGATTTCATTGCATGTAGGGTAATAAGCAGAGTAGATTTTTATTATTATTCCATGCTTCTGGTGGGGTGGATGGTTGCTATAAGATGATGCCAATCCCATACTGTTGCAGATACCCCGGTGGTTCAAGAGATGCCAGCAAAGAGTCCAGGTTCCGTTATGTTAAACAGCCTTCAGGTGGACATTGACCAAACTGCAGACACCCGGGTGGAGAAACACCGTGCCCTTCTTTCACCCACTGCGCCCTCAACGCTACTTCAAGATCTACCCGCTAGTGATAACTCCTCTTTTATTCTCCTAAACCTGGCCAGAGCAGGTAACTGGTATCTGTCTTACCAACTTTTTGATAGAATCACTTATTCTTTTCTGCTATTTAGAGTTTTACTTCTGCTGTTTTATGTTTGTTTTTTCCTAATGACCTTTTCTAACATTTATTTTCACTTCTAGGGTTAGGATCTCCGTCAGAGCACTTGGTTTTTGTTCATGATGACGCTGAGGATTCTGGGAATGATTTCCTTTCCAATGACTGCACTGACAGTAACACGCCATGGTTCCTTCGTGTTCAAGAGTTGGCACATGATAGTTTAATTGCTGCTACTCGGGCACAGTTGGCAAAGAATGCGAAGACTAACTGCAATGGTAAGCAATCTAATCATCAGCAGGCAGATTAATGCTCTGACTGACATAACATGCTTGTTCTAAATAGATTAATGGAGTACCGAGGCTTATGCATATGTGTGATTTAATTTCTATGTTTGATGAATTTCAGGGGAGATCACTCTGAGCATGTCCCCTGATGCAGATCTAAGATCATCCCTCACAGACCCACATTTAACTCACTCTGAGAAGCGACTGCACTGTTCCTTTAATGGCTGTGACCGATCCTTCGTATGGGCAACACACCTGAAATATCACCTTAAAACACATAGGTATTACTATTTATGAAAACAAGTCATTTCAAATGGACATTGCGTTTGAAAATAGACATTACTGTTGCTTATCTTAAAATGACTTGAGTCCTAAATGGCAGAGAATTGAGCAGTGAGACTGCTGGGGTATGATTTATACACCAAAACCATGTCATTAAACTGTTAAATTTGTTAAAATTAAGATTCTTTTGGTGACTATACGGCCCCTTAAGGTTATTCCCTTTTAATAGAAGCCAGTTATTTGTTTTTGTTGCAGGAACGATCGTTCGTTCTCTTGTCCGGCTGAAGGCTGTGGAAAAAGCTTCTATGTTCTCCAAAGGCTAAAAGTTCACATGCGCACCCACAATGGCGAGCGTCCTTTCCTGTGTCCTCAACATGGCTGTGGGAAGCGATTCACCACTGCTGGCAACCTGAAAAACCACACCAGGATCCACACAGGTATCTCCCACCTCCGGATTGGCCTCTGCTGCAGCTGGCATTAAGGGTATTACTTCCTATCCGGGTTATCCAGCAAAGGGAGAAATTCTAGGAATGTAAAGTGAATATTATATTTGAGGCCAAAATATCTGAGCTAGAAGCAATTCTTCCAATTTCACTATTTTGGCCTGTGACGGTAGTAATCTGTATCACTGTCCAGTATTCCCTTTTTCCCAATAGCAGAATAATCACAATAATCCACAGGGTAAAATAACGCTGGTATCACCAAATAATCCACACATGAGCCAAAGCTGATTTACTGGAAGCAACAGGCATTCAATTTATACAGTACAAGCTCCTCCTCTGGGCCAGGCTAGATAATTGAGTTTCAGCAACATACTAAACTCCATTATCTGCTGGCCAGAAACATTAACAATTTTCCACATTTTCAAAAATATACTTTCTACATGTCACAGAAATATAACAATCACATCCCTGGGTAGCTGATGATACTAGAAGTAACATATCCAAATTGCACGAAAATCCTTTCTGTAGTTTTCGTGTCGCATCGTGTGGAAGTTTGACCAGCTCGCCATGTGGTTGTTTTCAAGTTAGAGTTCTATGAAGTTGGTAGCAAGAGCCGGTCTCCGTTCGTGCGTAATTACACGAAAGCTTCCACAGTTATACAGCATCTGGTTCCATATGAATGCTCCCCTCATTCGGTTGATTGAAACTCCCAAACGCCAGTTTGATACTGTAAGTGGAAATCGGTCAGACGGGACTTCCATAGAGACCGGGTGTTCGTGTGTTTGTCATGCCGAAAATGGTTCCAGGCAATCCATGAGTAAGTCCCACTGACCGCATTCGGGAGATCTAAGATGGCCGCCATCCTTTGTTCTCGCCACGTGTTCATATACCGAATGGCGGCCACCTGAAAGCACTCAATTACCTTGCGGTTTTCGAGGTTACTTGGTGTTCTAAGTTCTGATTGCTACCCAGGGTGGTCTCCATTCGGTCGAACGAATAAATGTCCCGAACACCGGAATAACAACGAATACTTTACAGTCACTTAACTAGCAGGGAGAGGAATTAACCGAATGGGTACAGGTAAACATAAGGAAATCCTTTACATGGCCGTACATTTGAAACATTCTCACTTTAAAGAATAACTCTGTATGTGAAGGGTGAATTCAGCAACTTACAATAAATTGTAACCAAATTGCAAAAATAGCTCATTTGGAAAGATTGTCCTGACTCTGTTATAGCCACAGCTTGGCCTCTCTGTTTTCAGTCCATTATAATTGTTTTTAAGTGAATGAACCAGATCATGTTCCTTGGTACAGTTGCTGTTTGTCCCTCCGCAGGGGAGAAACCTTACCTTTGTGAGGCTGACGGCTGTGGACGTTCTTTTGCTGAATATTCAAGTCTTCGAAAACACATGGTGGTCCATTCAGGTATTTCATCTTCTAAGGCATGATCCCAGTGTTGGTGTCTGTGTTAACACAGATGTTGCTGACCAAGTGCTTTCATATTGTGAATATAGGAATAAAGTCCCATCAATGTTCGGTTTGTGGGAAGACCTTCTCTCAGAGTGGAAGCAGAAATGCACACGTTAGAAAACATCATCCCCAAAGCTCTGCAGGTAAGTGAATCCAATACACAGTGTTATTTACTATAGTGTGAACTATCAGCAATCTTAATGAATTTCGAATTCTAGGCCAAAATGAAAATCTACATGAATTGGAGATTTTTTTTTTTGCGCTCAGTCTTTGTGGCTTAAACTCTGACATTTTCTTTGAATTCCCAATAAACGATAACGGTTAGCCTGAAAATCAATGTGGTAATAGTAGTAACTTCATGTCATTCACATAATTTACTGATAAAATTACCAAAACAAACCTGAAAACGTTGTTGCCATTGTGCGGTCCATGTTTCAACTGAACAATTATCCAGGCACTGTTTACACAGAAAGGATCTCCGTTACGGCCAGGTCAAGCTGGGCTCTGGATTTAGTTCCTGTTGTTGTTTTTGGACAAAGGGAGTTTAGCATTGGGGACATAACTCTGTAATATTCCAGCCTATCTTTGTAACTGTCCCCAGAAAGTTTCAATGTAACATTGTGATATTATCACTTACAACTAATAATTACAAATTAATATTTGATGTCTTACAGATGAAAATAGTTCAGCTGATCTTGGCCAAGACCCTCTACAGCACACACCTCTGATTTCTGGTGCTACTCGAACTCGCACATATGAAGAAGATGTGTCTATATTGTTGAATTAGTGATTGGGTGTCTGCACTTGGCTGGACAATGTTGATAAAAGCAATTTTAGGAGCACAGAGGCAGACATATTCAGAATCAAAACAAATGAGGTTTAAGTGAATATGTGAAAAGAACATGTTGTATGGCTTGTTTGGGTGAGCTCATGCACGGTGATATCTATTACTGCAAAACTTCACACACTGCTCCTTGGGGGCGGGCCAGGGGCTGTGCTCTCTGCTCCTTTGGGGTGGCCAGGGGCTGTCCATTCTACTTATGTGGGCAGGCCAGAACCTGTGAGGTGCCCTCTGTACCTTGGAGGCAGACCAGAGGCTGGGCTGTGCGCCCTGCTCTGTGGGGGCGGGCCAGAGGCTGTGCGCCCTGCTCTGTGGGGGCGGGCCAGAGGCTGTGCGCCCTGCTCTGTGGGGGCGGGCCAGAGGCTGTGCGCCCTGCTCCAGGGGAGCAATGGGCTTTGAGTCCTCCTTTACTTGTTTTCTGTATATGTTATCATTCAGAAGGATTGCCTTGATTACTATTAAGTTCTTTAGTCAAATGGTGCATCAGAGTAAGGAATGATTTCACCTATACTTCAACTGTTAACACATCTTTGTATTCCTTTTAGGAAAAAGTACAGATTAACAGAGGTAAACTGCTTATATGACAAAATAGAAGTGAAGTTTAATGTAAAACTTTTTTTCATTAGCCAACTAAAGCAGAGCTGCTGCCTCCTCCTCACGAGGAGAGCCACTTATTGTCATATCCCTTGTCTGATCTATTTGTGGAAATAAGTCAGTCATGAACTTTGCACTTTTATTCATCTAATTAGCTTTTTATTCTCAGTTGATTTCTATTTGTCATATAAGCAGTTAAACAGAAAAATATTTATGTTCCATTTAAATAGGTATTTGAAAAGGATATGACTGTAGGTTGTTTGCACAGCTGCACAAATAAACAATTTTCACAGCAAATCCTTTTTGTGTGTATGTTAAGACTTGCAAATTTATTGGAGTATCTGTGCCAATTAATGGGGAATTTTATGGCAAGACAGGAGGCGAATATTTGCTTATCTTTCTTTACTGTAACTCCCAGCAGCAAAGAAACAGTTAACAGCAGTGTAAAAAAGTTTAACCAATCAGTATGCATTACAGCAATATAAACTGTCATCAGGCTCCTCCCAATTCCTCTTTCTTTGCTGCTTAGCCTCCCAGGTGAGTCTATTCTAATTATACTCCTACTAAATTCTCTAGTTTAACTGACTAATATATATTGTATATTATTTTAATATTTTTATATTTCTCATACAGTTTTTCCTTTTATGTTTCTGTGCTTTGCTTCTATTTATTTATGTTACATGGGCTGACACTCCAGTCAGCCCACAAACTCAATTTACCTCAACATTTCCTCACTCTTTTATTTTTTGTACTGTCAGTTTAATTTCCATAGCACTAACGCTTTCCCTGCAGCGCCCGGCATTTTGCCGGTCCGCTCAGCCGCTCAGTTCCCTCACACACAATGTGTGTTGCCCTGCCGTCTCCATAGAGACGCGTCCCGCCTTTTTTCATGCCGCGGCCATTTCTATTAGTCTTTTCCCGGGCTTCCCTCTCTGCGCCATCTTGTGGCAGGCTTATGCGCGGCGGTTCCCTCGCATCTCGGCTCTCACTGCAGGACGCGACCCAGCCGTTTGGTAAGTATATATATTTTTTTTTTTTTTCTCTTAAAGCCCCAGACCCTTTAATTTTACAAAATTAAAGACATACCCAATACTCAAAACTTCAATTTTTCTTGCAGATTTCAGCATAACTGCCAACACAGCTTACACAAATCCTTGCTTGATTCTGAGGGTGACCCCCTCTAGCCTTTACTCTGAGGGTGACCCCCTCCAGCCTTTATTCTGAGGGTGACCCCCTCTAGCCTCTCCTTCAAGGGTGACCCCCTTTGCTGTCTCTATACAGGGTAATCCCTATATGATAACACAGGCACATACCTGTTATTAGATCTTGGACACTATATTGTCCTTCTCTCTCTGGGTGAACCCCACTGATGAATTGTGGACGAACTCCACTTTTACAGGATAATTGCTTTTTTACATGCAGTCTAAGTCCACCGCCTCATTGTAATTAATTTGTCTGCACAAAAAAAAATAAAAAAAATTTTTTTTTATATATATTGTAAATATAATAATTAATTTCTCTTGTGGTGACCCCACTGTTACTGACATTATGTCGGATGTGCCAGAACCAGCAGTTTCTGCCGAACTTAAGGCTTGGCTTTTCAATGCCATTACTGAATCTATACCCAAAGCTTTAGCGGCTTTCCGCGAGCAGACAATCCCAGCCCCTACGGCGACCATTACCCAACAAACGCCCTTGGAAAGGCGATAGGGCCACCGCCGGTAAAGGCAAAGCGCCTGCTAAACACCCTAAAGTGCCCTATTCTAAACCCAAGCAAACCTCCCAACATGATTTTGACGCATTTGAGGGTTCAACCTCTAATTATAATCTCCACGTATTAGACGAATACTACGCAGAACACTCGGATACTGAGGCTCCACCTCATAAGACATTCCCAGACCTCTACCCTTCCGATTCTGCAACTAATGAACCCACTTATACAAATCTTCATAATTGCAGACGAGGCTTTATCAGGTGGCACATTTGATGCACATATGGTGCGAGAGTGGGCACAAAGAGCCTTATGCCTTTTAGGCAATGCCAATGTGGCAATATCAACTGAACGGCGGAAGGCCGTCCTTTATAAAATCGATGCCAAACTTGCCGAATTGGGCACTAAAGAACTTGGTCCAGAGGCTCAAGGCATGTTATTTGGAGACAAGTTCATAAAAGAACTAAGTAAGCACGTCTCTGTTTTTACTACACTGACAAAAGCACAGTCCTCCATTCGCAAGGTATTTCGCACTCAGCGTTTTTCTGGAAGAGCTGGTCGCTATAGAGGCCGAGCGACTGGCAGAGCCGCCTTCACAGGCTACAGGCCTCGACCTTCAGACACCTGGAACTCGGGCAATACCCGATTCCACAACAGACAATTTTTTCCCACTCGCGGAGCGATCCGAGGACGTGGATCCGCTTCCCTCCGCGGTCGCACTGCTACAGGTAATGGACCTTCCTTATTCTCATATTCCTATTGCAGGCCGGTTAACCCTTTTTTCCCAACAGTGGTCTCAACTCACTCAGGATCCTTGGATCCTTCAGACGGTGTCCGGGTTCCACCTGGATTTTTCAGTCGAACCAATACAAAATTTTCCTCCTACCCCAATCAAAATGTCACTGTTAGACGAGTCGACTCTACGGAGCGAACTCGACGATCTATTCACCAAGGGTGCGATCGAAAGAGTTGTTGGCCCACAGATCTTCATAAGCAACATGTTTCTAGTCAAGAAAAAATCAGGAGGTCTACGACCTGTCATCAACCTGAGAGATCTGAACAAGTTCATCGCATACTGTCACTTCAAAATGGAGGGGATCCATTTATTGAGAGACCTACTCTCCGAGGGAGATTGGTTCTCCCGCTTCGACCTAAAGGATGCCTACCTAACGGTGCCGGTAACACCAGCACACCGCTGCCTCCTTCAGTTTCGTTGGGAACAAGCACTATGGCAGTTCACATGCCTCCCCTTCGGCCTATCTTCTGCACCCTGGTGCTTTACCAAACTAATGAAACCAGTGATGGCCTTACTGCGCTCCCAAGGCATCCGATCCATAATCTATCTGGACGATATCCTCCTCATGGCACAAGACCAAGAAACTCTCCACCTTCATACAAGCATGACCTCCGCCCTATTGCAGAATCTTGGTTTCGTGATCAATCACCAGAAATCATCTTTAACACCGTCCCAGACGATACAGTTCCTGGGATTCCAGATAGACTCTGTTCAAGCAGTCCTTCAACTTCCGGCATCCAAAATTAAATCCATCAAAAAAGACATTCGGAGGTTACTGATATCACCACACCTCCGCCTGCGAGATCTAGCCCGCACCATCGGCTTGCTCTCCGCCTCAATACAGGCTATATTCCCTGCCCCACTGCACTACCGGGCACTGCAACGCCTGAAGACCCAATACTTACATCAGTCGACGTCCTACGACCAACAGATCACACTCACGGACGAAGTCCGGCTCGAACTCCATTGGTGGCTACAACATATGGACGCTTGGAATGGAAGAGCCATTTTCGGATCCCAACCAGACTTCATCCTGGAATCGGATGCAAGTCTGCTCGGATGGGGCGCAACCTGCTCGGAAAGCTCTACAGGAGGACTCTGGTCCCACTCGGAACGAGCACTTCATATCAACTGCCTCAAACTGATTGCAGGCTCATTCGCAATCCGCAGTTTCGCCAAAGATGTCTACAACTGTTCCGTGGTGCTGAAGATGGACAACGTGTCCGCAGTTCGTTACGTGAATCATCTAGGAGGTTCCAAATCAAAGATGCTTTCAGATCTGACCAAAGAATTATATCAGTTCTGCCTAGACAGGAATATCTCCCTGCGAGCGGAATATCTACCGGGATCAGACAACCTCGTCGCAGACTGGTTCTCCCGACACTGGAGGGACTCCAGCAATTGGCATCTGAATCCACAGATATTTCACCGTCTCCAGGTCTGCCGGGGGCCATTCAACCTGGACCTCTTTGCATCTCGCCTCAACAGGCAGACGGACGCCTTTTACAGCTGGTTGCCGGACCCAGCGTGCCTTGCAGTCGATGCCTTCCTACAGACGTGGCCGATGTCCGGGGCATATGCGTTCCCTCCGTTCTCCATGATTCCACGCACACTACAGCACCTCAAAACTCAGGGTGTCAAGATAACACTAGTGACCCCGCTATGGCGGGCCCAACCATGGTATCCTTACCTCCTGGAAATGTCTGTGGACTTCCCCCTGCTGCTACCCAACGCCTGCGACCTCCTCAGAGACCCGACAGGCAACTTTCACCCATTGGCAATGCAGGATCATCTCCAACTAGTGGCTTGGACCGTTTCAGGGGATCTTGGAATGTCTCAGGCCTTTCGACAACTGCTCAGGGACTCCTTTGGGATTCATGGGCCCCGGGAACCAGACGCTCTTACATCTCTGCATGGCGTCTATGGAGTTGCTGGTGCTTGGAAAGGAACCTTGATCCCTTTTCAACATCTATAATTAATGTTATCAATTTCCTGTCGTCTCTGTTCGACCAGGGTAAATCCTACCGGACCATTAACGTGTTTCGGTCTGCTATTTCTGCAGCGCACGTTCCTATCGAAAGTTCTTCAGTAGGCAAACACCCTTCTGTCTGTAGACTCTTGCGGGGCATCCGCATCGCTAGACCCCCGACTCCCAAATATAATCAATTCTGGGACGTGGCCATCATGCTCACGTTCTTGGAAGCTTGGCCGGACAACGAGGCACTCTCCCTACGCCAATTGTCAGCCAAATTAGCTCTCCTCCTTTGCTTGGTCTCCTTCCGAAGAGTTTCTGACATCAGGGCTTTCGACTTTCATGCCCTCGATTTCACACCGGAGGGGGTGCACTTTCATATCACTAGACGCACCAAGACCAACTCATCTACTGTGAGCTACCCTTACTTCTCGGAGAAACCCCTCCTCTGCGTAGCCCGGTGTATAAGACACTATATCGCTCGCACTACCCCTCTCAGAGCACCTACTGGGCCCCTCCTGGTATCTTATGTACGACCTCACAAACCAGTCTCGTGCCCTACCATTGCACGATGGATTAAATGGCTTCTAGCCCTGGCTGGCATTGATGCATCTTTCGGAGCTCACTCGGTTAGAGGCGCAGCCGCCTCCTCGGCACTCATAGCTGGAGGTTCCTTAGCGGAGATTCTATCCTCCGCTGATTGGTCTAGAGAATCCACCTTCCGTACTTTTTATTTTAGACATTCTCCACACGTTTCTCTGTCCTTGCTATCTGTGCTTTAAAATAGCAAATATGAAGCCTCCTGTCTTGCCATAAAATTCGGGATTATTCTAGCTCCTAGTGACTGAATAATCTAAATTTTATTAAAGACAGGAGGCGAATATTTTCCCACCCTGGATTCTCCTTACCCACCCTTTTAGGTAAGTATCCTGCACTATCTCCAGTTCTAACTATGACCAGCATCCTCTCTTTTCCTAGCCTATACTCGTTAGGTCGTTATTATATGCTAAACCGCTTTCAATTGTACATTGGTTTATTGTATTCTAGGTGTGTCACTTACTCTACATACCACACAGTTAATTATCATAAGTTAGAGCTTGCACTTAAATTGGAAGTCAGTTCACTGCATTTACTTTGATTTTTCTCTTGCCAAAGAGACCATACTTTCACGATGTTTCTCCTTCCTCCTAGTGTGAAGATCAATTGCCTTCTGTCTCGAATTTACCTGCGGGTTGATCACTACCTTCATCCTACCGGATACCTACACCGTTACCTGTTCATCATTTTTAATGGTTCTACGTTTACATGGTTGACTCTACGGCTGTTCGGCTACATCAAGAAAGAGGAATTGGGAGGAGCCTGATGACAGTTTATATTACTGTAATGCATACTGATTGGTTAAACTTTTTTTACACTGCTGTTAACTGTTTCTTTGCTGCTGGGAGTTACAGTAAAGAAAGATAAGCAAATATTCGCCTCCTGTCTTTAATAAAATTTAGATTATTCAGTCACTAGGAGCTAGAATAATCCCGAATTATACAGGAAGGAGATCACAAAACACTCAGAAGGTCTGCTTATTTACACTCACTGCACCTCCCCTTCAAACCTGAAATCGGTGGATTGCAACATATCTCTTTTCATGAAACCACTAAGCAGCCGCTGGTATGAGCTGACCTGGCATGGCTTTAGTCCATGCTGCCAGTTTCATTCTTATCTTCATGTTGGATAGTACATTAAAAAAAAAATAAAAAAATAAAAAAAAACTCTACCTTACAAGAAAACTTGGTACATCAAGCTCTTCTACATAGTATCATCTAGTGTAAATGTCTCTATTGCCCATATAGCTGGGTTTTTTTCTGCGTAAGTGCTGTGATTGTTCTGTAAGGGTTCAGCTTCCTGAAGAGCAAGCGACTGTCACGACACCTAGCGCTGCTGAGCCCTGCCGCAGTACTACAAAAATACATCCTCCCACATCCCAAGGGTTGTACCTGCAAGTGGCAGGGACTGTTAAAGTGCTCCATTGCTAAGAAGCCGGCTCCAATCTTTCAATCACTGTCACTATTCAATATATATCACAAATTTAACTTCCAGAAATGCCGCCTCCATTAACCTACCATATAGATCCTGGAAAGTGACTATTACGTCACTTTAATCCTATAGTTACCAGGTTAATTGTCCCTAATAGAAACGGAAAAAAACTATTGAAAACATGTTTTCTCTAAACTGATTTACTGTCCTGGCTGTAAGAACCTACAGACAGAATGCACACATTTAGAGAAACTGTGAGACAGAAAATAAATGGTGAAATTATACATAATATTTATTACAAAACGATTTGAAAGACTGAGAACACGAGACTAGCAGCAAACACTGGCTGGAAAATGCCCTAAAATAGCACAAAGGGGGAAACCACACACAGTGAGTTAATGGACATTAGATCACGATCACAATCACCCAGGAAAGCTATTTGTGCTGAATGAAAGCTAACAATCTTCTAAATTCTGTTACATACAAAGTGTCTAATCTCAATAATCTGCTCTTCAGAATGTGAAAACATGTTTCAGCACGTATAAAATACGCAGGACTAATATCCATGTGGGACTAGTGTTATGAATTGTATATTAGAAATCTTTTCATGGTGTTGTGTACCGTCCTGCAGAGTGGAATATACAACGCGCTTGTGTATACACATTAAGGTAATATCATTGGTTTAGGATCTTATTAAAGATTTTTGCATTGATTGAAATCCTGATTTAAAGGGAACATTACCCACTGTACTCCGTTTATGTGGTGTGATAGCATGTATCATATTCAAGCAGACCTTAAAGGAGCCTGTTGCACTCCATACCTGCACTGTCACGTACATTAAACGTGATACTGGCAGACACTAATCTTCTTCCCAGGCTTCCTTCTCTTCCTCCTGGTTCTCCTTTCTGTTAATTCCTTTTCCCTGATGCTGCACAAACTCCTCTGTTAACCCAGCCTGCTGGAGAGTCCTGGTAAACCTGCGATCAGCTTCTTTAACAGCATTTCCCTAGGAGGAAACAGAATACCAATTGGGTAAAATGCAGCATTAAAGGGACACTCCAGGCACATAGACCACTTCTGCTCATTGGAGTGGTCTGGGTGCCAACTCTCACTACCCTTAACCCTGCAACTGTAATTATTGCAGTTTTTTTTTTTTAATAAACTGTAATAATTACCTTGCAGGATTAACTCTTCCTCTAGTGGCTGTCTACTAGACAGCCACTAGAGGGCACTTCCGGGATTCTAGCACAGGTTGTGCTAGAGCGTCGCTGGATGTCCTCACACTATGTGAGGACCTCCAGCGTCGCTAAAATCCCCATAGGAAAGCATTTAAAAGCTTTTTCAATGCTTTCCTATGGAGAGGTCTAATGCGCGTGCGCGGCATTGCCGCGCATGTGCATTAGGTCTTCCCAGCCGGCAGGCGTGATGAAGGGGAGGAGCGGCGGCGGAGGAAGAAGCAGCAACGAGGGACATAGTTGCTGCCTTTGGTAAGTGACTGAAGGTGTTTTCACCCCTTCAGCAACCGGGGGTGGGTGGGAGAGGGGACCTGCAGTGCCAGAAAAACTGATTGTTTTCCTGGCACTGGAGAGTCCCTTTAAATCCGCTGCCGCATCTAATGCGATGCTTGCTTTCTTAAAATAAGATGCAGTGTGACTTGGCCACAACAGATTAATAATCCTTGTTTTAGGTATGGAAGAAAGGGTCTCTTTATTTAAAGGGACTCTCCAGTGCCAGGAAAACAAACCGCATTAGACCTCCCCATAGGAAAGCATTGAAAAATGCTTGCAATGCTTTCCTATGGGGATTTCAGCGATGCTGGAGGTCCTCACATAGCGTCAGGACGTCCAGCGACGCTATAGTACCGAAAACCTGTGCTATAGACAAGGAAGTGCCCTCTAGTGGCCTTCTAGTAGACAGCCACTAGGAGAGGACTTAACCCTGCAAGGTAATTATTGCAGTTTATGAAAACTGCAATAATTACAGTTACAGGGTTAAGGGTAGTGGGAGTTGGCACCCAGACCACTCCAATGGGCACAAGTGGTCTGTGTGCCTGGCGTGTCCCTTTAACACAAAGCTGTTCTGTTTGGATCCATCGGCCCCTTGTTATTCATACATCCTGTGAATAATGCAATGACAATCTCAGGTATCCTCCTGCTTGCTTTGCCTATTTGATTGTTTACCTTTGTTACATGTTCAAAAAGGTACGGTCTTGCTTTCACTCGAGCTTTCATGTCTTCCAGTTCCTCCTTATATTCCTTCATCCTCTTCATGTCAGAGTGCCTAAACCCACACAGAGAGAAATGCAAGGATCGCATCTTATAGATTTCTTAATGAATACCCAGCTAATAGGTCAGTATCTAGCATTCAAACCTCTAGTAATGAATAAGAGACATATTGGGACGTTATTACTTTTTGAAAATGGAAAAAAAAATATACAGTGCTCCCATATTTCTTAGTGGGATCTGGTGCCAAACATGACTTTCACCTAAATCACTAACGTTCCTGGTCAGACCATCCAAGACAACACACCTGATATGCTTACGCCTCTCCACGTTGGTATCTGCCAGGGGCTGGTGAGGATCCAATGCTTTTGCCCTGCTAGATATTGACTTCCACATTGCTTGTGTCTCTTTTTTCTTCATTCTTTCTGTTTTCTCTGTCTCCTGTTTGGCTTTTTCTTCCAGAGATGATCTGTAAAATATATTGCTCTCTTTATGGCCTATGTGATATACAAACATCTATACTATGATATTGCTGGCCTAAAACTAATTAGCCGAACATATAAAATGCCCAATAACTTCATTTGTAGTTTTTTTCCTTTTCTCCCAATTACAGCTGGAAATATTGTTAAAGCAGGAGACGGAGTGGAACAATTTGAGGGAGGAAGTCGAAGAGTTCATGCTGGTGGCAGTTCAAGGCAAATTAACCTGGGAAATGCTAACACAGCTCAGTACAGGGATATATGAATGCATGTTATATTTACCTACCTGCCACAGACTGTTACTACACAATAAAATAACGTGTCAGTGGGCTGCACTGATTAATTGTGCATTGTGGATTTGTGTGCACTATGTGGTAGTACCATGTAATCATGAGGCAGAGGTTCCCCAAGTAAGACCAAGTCACCCAGCTGGGAGGCACAGATACATAGTTCATTATATCACTGTATACAAGCAATGTATACAGAGACAGTGCAGCATATATTACGTTTATTCATGAAATATTAGCAATGAGTTCCAGCAATCTTAATTTTGTCAACTAACAGGTTTAGTTGATTTAGATTTTTGAGATTTAGTCGATAAAAATTTTAATAATTCAGTTGACTAAAATACGACTAAAACTAAAATGGCTTTTGAGTCAAAAGACTATGATTAAAACTAAATTGAAATTTAGAGGTGGAAGAAGAGGAAATAAAACACATGGGGGGCTGGGAGAATGAGACACACATTGTGGCTGAAAGGGGGAAATGGCAAAGATCCACAGAGGAACCGGGCAAAAGAGACATTGCGGGGCTTGGGGAGACAAAAATATACACAGAGAGCCTGTGGAAAGGGCAAAAGAGACATTGCGGTGCTTGGGGGGACAAAAATATACACAGAGAGCCTGTGGAAGGGGCAAAAGAGACATTGCAGGGCTTGGAAGAGAGAGACCTAGAAGAGCTGGGAGGACACAGAGGGGCTGGGGAAGGAGCAAAAGGGACAGGTAGGGGCTTTAACCCCTTAAGGACCAAACTTCTGGAATAAAAGGGAATCATGACATGTCACACATGTCATGTGTCCTTAAGGGGTTAAGTAAACTTATTAGATTTTAGTCGTGTTAATTAAATTTACTGGAGATGTAGTCAACTAAAACTAGACTAAAAAAATTCAGATGACTAAATTACGACTAAAATGGCTTTTTAGTCAAAAGACTAAAACTAAACTGAAATTTACCGCCAAAATTAACACAGAGTCCCAGAGGGCCCTGCAATTGAGCATGCACAGGCTGCCCTGCGATCCAGCTGCCAATCTGCCATTGATGGCTATTTGCCTGTTTCTTGTTAATAACCCAAAAAAACAGACCAAACACTACAGACTGTCTGCTTTCCAGTATCACACCTGATAGCGGACTCTCTTTTCTTGGTACTGTCTGTTATATACACCGGAAGCGTATTCAGAGACAAGCATGCCAGGCCGTGGAGATAGGTACTGGGTGTCTTGGATTTACTGTGAATATCCTAAATAAACAGAATATACATGAGTGTAGTGTAAGCATGGAAAAACCACTATACCAACATTTAACAAACGTAATCCTTCCTGTTCAAACGACTGTCAAGATACAGAAATCAACCCAGCAGAGACTGAATCTACAGCTACCCTATAGAAGTAGAAAAGCAGTATAGTTGGGTATTACCTGATCTTAAAGTAGCCATTCCTAAAGCTAATCTTATAGATAGACAAAACTGTAAGAGAACAGACAGAAAGCATCCAAGGTCAGACAATACAGGAATCACACAAACCATAGGCCAATGTGAATCAAGGGGAGCCAGAAGACAGAATAATAAAGACAAGATGGGTCAGATACCGAAGGACACAGAATAAGGAATACTGAATAATCACAATAGGGCAAAGTGTACAGGCATGTGAGTTTATAGGTATCAATCCTGTGCAGCCAGAACATACGTGTAGATTGATGGCAGACTGATGCCACGGAGCCTGTTAGTAATAAGATGGCACGGTAAGGTAGCATCCAGCATCAGAACTAATGCCAAAAAAACTTTATTAAATTTAGTATCTGGTATCTGAATGTCTCAGGGTTTCCCACTCTAATTCAATATGTGCCCTGGCTACCAGTACTGACTGAGATGGATTGTGACGTCAAAGGCTAAACTGTTACTATATACTTACTAAAAATAAAACAGAGCATTTTATTCCTATGGAGTCATTTCAATAGAAGGTCCCCTTTACTTTAACATAGCTTCCCGTAACTCACCTCTACATCTTCTAGGATGTGTTTTTTTCTCACTCTCAGGGTTGAGGTACGCAGGGTGAAAGGTTTATTCCGAGTGGGTCCTCTCTCTTTATAATTGCTCAGTGCTTCCTTCTGGAACTTCCTATATAGCTGTTGGAAGTCCGGTACTGATGGGTTTATGTGAGGTTGGAAGGTCAGGTTCTGCTCCAAGTACGCCAGGCATTCTTGCTGGGTTTTTAAGGAGATACTGGAACCTGGATCCCTCACACTTCTGCTCAGAGCAATAGGGGCAGAAGACTTCTCCAACATATCTTTGGCCCTCATTTGACTTTTAATTTTCCTGACCAGCTCAGCCTCTGGTTATGGCAGATATTACATTAAGGAAAGAGAAACAAGAGTTTGTGATAACAATCCAGTTTGGAAGCAACGTGTCCAATGATATTAACTAGCCTATGTAACCTTAAGCATCATGGGATATGTAGTTCACAAACATCAGGGGTTACATCTTTGTATTCCTTAAATTGTATGTCATTGTGGTTATTTACTGTCATCTAGTAGTGAGAGACTGCACATGTTTCTGCAACAGATTACGTTAAAGAGACACTATAGTCACCAGAACAACTACAGCTTATTGTATTTGTTCCGTTAAGTATAGTCAATCCCTGCAGGCCTTTGGAAGTAAACACTGTTGTTTCAGAGAAAAGGCAGTGTTTACATTACAACCCAGGGGCACCTCCAGTGGCCACTCCTCAGATGGCTACTAGAGGTGCTTCCTGCGGCAGTGCTGCACACATTCAGTGTCTCCACCTTCTGCATGGAGACACAGAACTTTCCTCATAGTGATGCTGACTGGCCAGGGTGGCGTTTGACTCTGCCCCCTGCCCCACCCCCTTGGTAATAACAGACAGTTCAATGAGAAAGCATCATCACTTCTGATGATGTTAGTCAAAGCGGTAGATCAGTGGCAGAGCCAGCACCAGCAGACAGTAATACAAGTAAGATTTTACTATGCTTAGGGAGACAAGGGCTTGCAGAGAGTGTTTTAACACTATAGGGTCAGCAATACAAGTTTACAGATTCTAACTGGATTGATGAGATAGTAAACTGCAATCAGTCCTGTTTCACAGGGTCTGCTAGAAATCCCAAAGCCAATCACTAGCAGTAAACTGGTATTGGGGTTAAATGTATTAAAGGGGCACTGTAGGCACAATAACCATTTCATCTTATTGAACTGGTCATGGTGCCTGGGGTCCCCTGGCGCTGTCAAGTATTAAGCCATTTTCAAGCAGTTTAACACTAAATAAGGATCACTGGACACCCAGAGTCTGACCCCTATTGGAGGTATGTCTCACAGAGGGATTCCACACTTCCTACTAGCCATACCAATTCATACCAACATTGGGCACTGTGATAGGTGAAAAGCAGTCAGCTGATACGCTCAGCCAATCACAGACAACCATTGGTGCTCAGGCTAATGCTTCATCCATAGTCCAAGCAGCACAGAGGGGATGGTCTGCCGGAGATGCTCATTTAGCAACAAAACATTAAAAACAGTTTAACACTGAACAGAAGGACAGCACCAGGGGATTGCAGATACTATAACCTCTTCAATGAGATGAAGCAGTTACACTGCCTACAGTGTCCCTTTACAAAATTGTACTTCTTTAGTCATATTAGGTCACTGAGCTCACCTTCTACTCATCCCTGGCTCTCCAGTACCAGATTTACTCCCAAATTTAAGTCTGCCCTCAATAAGCCCTATCACTCTGTTCATTAGCTCCACCTGGAGTCTCATTAGAGTATCCAAGAATTCCCTCTTTTAGGAGCTGTTATCTGGACCAAGAGTTACATGCTAAGTACTATGGAGGAACAGTGAATTAGTCAACAATGTTGGTACACTCGTATTCTGTGACCTGTGTTTTTATTGCAGTTTGCCTGTACACGGTCACATTATAACAAAGATACACAATATGTCTTACCTTTTAGTTTCTCACTGACACTAGGATCTAAGACACTTTTAGGGATAGTTCTCTTGATGTGTTGTACTTTATGGGATGGAGCTGGCACTTGCCTTTCCATTGCTTGCTTTCTTTTCTCTTCTTCCTTTGAAACGAACTGAAAAGGTTTTTGTGTGGCCAAAAGAAACTCTTTCCTTTTTTCGATGGCAGAATTTCTCTTTGCCTCTTGTTCCTCCACCAAGTCACTGTATAACGGCAAAAGAACACGTGCTGGGACTGGCCCAGCACGGAACTGCTTTAAACATTCAGGATCCTCCTGGTTCTGGAGTTCCACCGTATCCAAAAGATCTAGAACTTTCTCTTTGCCTTTTCGTTGTGTATTTCTCAGACTCATGCGAAAGGGTTGAGGTACAGTGATGGGAGAGTCATGGTGCATTCTGACTGATTTTGACCTTTGCTGGGTACTGTAAGAAATCATGTTAATCAGTTTCCCACAAAAATACTACACAAAAGAGTTTTCAATTATAGTGTAGCCTTGTTTTCAGGAAAACAAAAAAAAGCATTCAGCGAATTAGGCAGCCTCTGATAAACGGGAAACACCATATTACAAAATCATATTCTCAAAACTCCTTAATGTAAATAGAACATAATCATTGTGTATTGTGCTCAGAGACAGCCAGAAAATCATCTCTTAGAAAAAGGTAACAAAAAACAGATATTAACATGAAAGATGGTGTATGAAAAATATATGATATCCATCATACTGTAGGAAACTGAAAACAGAATTAAAACCTTTTGGGTTTAAACAGCCAGGTGGTGACTACACATTAGTTGGTACCCCCCCTCCTTCCTCTCCTAATTTTGCAGTTCTGTTTTCAATTCACTACAATATGAATCAGCTCCAAACTGTACGTTGAAGAATTTGGCACCCATTTCGAGGTGGGGGTAGGTCAATTTCCAGACTCACCTCTGGACCACTGTAGGTTGTCCAAGATACTGGTTATACATGTGGCTTGCAGAAAAGAAGTCTTCCAAGTCACGGTCCTTGTAAGGCAGCGAATCCTTTATGTTGTCTGTTTGGTCAATGAAGCCCAACTCCTGAAGAAGAAGGCCTTGCCTGTGCTGTAACTCCTGTAATTTCCCATGTATATCAGGCTCTACTTCTTCCTGTTCCAAAAAATCCACTAAGCGGGCTAAACGGCTCCCAGGACTCTCACACCTCATTGCATCACTTTGGCAGTACTTTCAGTCTGCAGTGAAGACAAGATTAATTAAATATCACCAAAAACTTAGATTTCTTAAATGAACTCAAATCTCTGTGGTCCTCATGCCAATCACCTTAGTAACCACACCTGTACTGCATGCCTCATTAAAATCACTTTAGGATCTACCCCAGTCATCCCAATCTGTACAGCACCCCTCCTGCCATTCATTCTAGTATCCATCCCAGTTACCCCAATCTGTAAAGCACCCCGCCTGCCATTCATTCTAGTAGCCACCCCAGTCACCCCAATCTATACAGCCCCCTCCTGCCATTCAATATGGTACCACCCCAGTCACCCCAATCTATATAGCCCCCTCCTGCCATTCAATATGGTACACCACCCAGTCACCCCAATCTATACAGCCCCCTCCTGCCATTCATTATGGTACCCGCCCCAGTCACCCCAATCTATACAGCCCCCTCCTGCCATTCATTATGGTACCCGCCCCAGTCACCCCAATCTATACAGCCCCCTCCTGCCATTCATTATGGTACCCACCCCAGTCACCCCAATCTATACAGCCCCCTCCTGCCATTCATTATGGTACCCACCCCAGTCACCCCAATCTATACAACCCCCCCCTGCCATTCA